TTATAACAGATTTTTGCCAGACTCTACGCCAGAGAAATTTAACTTAGAGCGGGTGTGCTGTAAACAAAATTACCATGTTCCAGAGGACGGCCTCACTAAAACCCGAAAGGACTTCGCTGTCGCGGCGCACGCGTACAAAAAGTAACACTTTGTCACATTTTGAAGTCCTGTGAAGTAACTCACAACGGTCGCCGCAAGATACAACTGTATGGTGAAGCAAATAACCAACACTTCTTCGCAAAGATGTCGAACTCATCCCAAAGCTGGCACAGCAACGGCATCAACCCACATTAAGCCTGAATTAATCTCCCTTAAGTGCTCCACTTCACACGGGGTAATATGCAACGCCTACAGAATGGCCCATAGCTACCAACTAAAAATCAATACATACGGCGTAAGGACCCATGCGGAAGTGATAGTCCACCCTACCTGCGAAGCGTTGCTAGTGTTCAATTGTAACATCATATCAGCAATAAGGAAGTTCGTCGGCGAGTCTTCAAATCTGATAAACTCCGCCGACGGAATGACAGGACCATTTCACTGCGGAGGCTTCGCTGGCTTGGGCATGTGCTCTTCATGCCTAACCAGCAGTTACTGCGGTGCGCCTCATTGGCGAGCGCAGGCGTGGGATGCAAGCGAAGACATGGAAGCCAGTGTAAAACTTGGATCCAATGCGTTAAGGCGCTGACGCCGAAGCTGGCTGTTGTTGGGCCTTCCAGACTCCCGGGTTTGGGATCAAAGGATCCCTAGCCCATCTGGTTGGAAATGCTTCTAGATTTTACGAAGGACCGTGCGCGATGGCGCACTTGCTGTAATACTCTTCTTCCCTAAGTCCTTTCTCTTTCACGCTCTTCTCCCTCTTATGTGTTGTGGCACTCAGCCAAACGTACTGTCATTGGTAAAGTAGTGAACATATATATATATATATATATATATATATATATATATCTGGCATCATACACTAACGATCACCAACCGTGGTTATCTACTCCCGATCTCCGCCAAGCAAATATCAACATTTGGGTCATCAAACTTGACATATTCGACTTGTGTGTGTCTACTATGAAAGGAACTCTTAAAGAGTATGACACTTACCTGCTTGGCACAACGCCACAAATTCTTTCAAGCTAACAACCTACACTTATGCGTTCGTGAAAGACTCCGACCAATTTTTGCATTTAACAGGCTTGCTGTTTCGATATTAAGCAAGGACATCTGTCTAATCTCGGTGAATTTATCTAATGCTCAGGTCTTGGACTATGCATGAGTTGGCCTAAACTAGATGTTCATGGACCGCGATTCACTAGGGGTTTGCTCTGATCACTGGGCCAACTCCTACTGAGGACCTTTCACGGCTTCACTCGATGTCACGCTTACGTTTCCCATGTGATTTCTTCCCCATTCTTGTTGCAACTGTCCAAATACAACGTAACAGGTGTTAAGTTGGCAGTAGCACATAGGTAGTAGCCTTTACAGAAAGCAAAATTACATCATTCACTGTAAGAGAAGAGATTGATCTACCGGCTATGCATTATAAGCAAGTCGTCTTTATTGAACTAAAACAGGCTACGATCACATTAAGCAAGCTGCGTTGTCTTAGATTGTCTGTCTCAGCTTATGGGTCTATCCAACAAGGTCATGTTGCTGAACAGTGGCTGAATGTCCACAACAGCAACAACGGCGGTTAAACAAACATTCAAAGATGACCAGGAACTGGTTCATTTCTGCTCATATATGGGTTTGTGATAACCCTTTAGTGTTCGTAGCTGATTGTTCGGTCTGCGTTTTACATAACTATCCCAATGTGTTCCGACAGGACGGGTCAGCAACCGCTTACTTAACCACGGAGGTAAAGCGAACTAACCGATTGCCCAGTACCCAGGGACCCTGGAACTACATAATGGATGATCCCATACGTAATCACCAGTGAAGGTGGTTGGAAAAAATCGCACCGATGCTCTTCTCTTGATACTCCGGCAACGCATCATTATCACCAACAACGCACGTTAGACGAGGGTGTGAAACACACCCCAGATAATGTGCCGCAATACAAAAGGATATCTGAGCAAAAACGCGATACCATATATTACGTAACACAAGCTAAGAACAGAAACGTAATATGATGCTTAGTGTATTATTAAGCATTCCGTATTTGAAGGAGGTTGGAGGAGATAAGCGGGAACGGCAGGGGTAAAGAAACGCACAACACAAAACCATTGGGGTCGGCTCTTCGCCCCATCAGCAAGTATATCCAACCAAACTCCAAGAAAGTTAGCTAACCCAAGTCCGCGACCCTGTCTATAGAATGAATCTCAGTGCCGCAGTTCTTGGCACTTACTACTCAATGGATATCGTTGATGGTGAAATTGAAAAGGAAATTTGAAAATATGAGACATTGGTAAACGCTTCCGATGACAGCAAACGAGAAGGAAAACGTTTGAAGTAAACCTCGACTTTACAAGGTGTGTCAACATCATCCTTAATACACTTTAGCCGAGGGTAAGCAGCGCACATCAACTAATGTGTCGCAATGCAAAAAGATAAGATGCTAAAAAGTACATTAAACATTATGTACTGTTAGATAGCATATTATTCGCAATCGTATACGAGCGTCCATTGTACAGTTGCATTGTAAACCCTTCCTTTCAAAGCGGTAAAAATGGTTACAATTGAGAAACAATGGGCATTTCAGTTATCCCATTCAGGTGGTTGTCGCACGATAAACCATAAATGACTGACCTTTTCAAACCACTCGTATATGGCGTGCCGTTCAAATCATACAACGGTTCCCTGGAGTGAGGCGTCATTCCGTAAAGGAAATCTTTTAATTCACGAAACAACAGGGAACCCTGTGAACACAAGGGTGACAAAAAATGAGTGAGGTTCATTTGTTTAAATTTATTAGCGCATCATTATATGGAGAGGGAAAACAGAGTTGAAAGTGGAGCATGTGGATCACCTGGGAGTCAAATCCGCTTTTGATTTTTTCCGGTCCACTTTTATCATTCAGTTGATTGCCACGGAAGGACACTACTTCTAGAGTAATTGACTAGTTAAGAGTCGTTTTATCTTAAGTCCACTCTAGCCCAACACATGGAAACGGGATAAAGAACACTTGGTTTAGTCGAGCTGTTTGGCGTTTACATAAATTGTACCGCACTTGGGCAGAGGTCGCCCACTTGATTCCCAGCTAAAACAAACGCCATTTACATCTACTATGTAAGAAAACAGGTATTACTTTGTGTATACGGAAAATATACATCATAATAAATAAACTTATGTGAGTTCTTCAGTAAGGTGGGATACGTCATTCCGAAAAGAATACCTCGCTGGACAAGCAGCAAACAATTAATATGTTCGAGTGAAATTTGTCACCTAACTTGGCCGACGCACAATGTTGACTTCAATCCTGGCAGAATTGGGCAACCGCTCTGTATTTTGCCTTAAACATATTGATTCTGTCAACTCTCCTGAAACAACTGCTGATGAGGTATCAGGCACTACGCGGGAATTTGTGCTGGGAGCCCTTACTGCATACTTTCGATCACGATGTACCAGCAATACTAAAGAAAACTTCTTCGATCTGAATCTACATTAAACATGCACTAAAAGCAGATTACACTGTTCCCAAAGAACGATGGATTGATGCAACAGGTACAATCTTTCTGGGTTTGTATTGATGTGGGACCTAGTATTGTGTGGGTAAAATCAATATCATGCTTGCTGTACTAGCACTCGTTGACTATGAGTCTGAAGTACTTGGTTTCAGGCTTCGTATGATGCAGACGTTTTGTGTGCTCAAACTGAACGATAAACTTAGGGAACAGCACGGGTAATCTGCAACCAGAATGTTGATTTTCGGTAGCATGCATTCAGGAACTTCATACTGAATCCATTCATCTCTGATCGAGCTTGATGCTAAGTGAGATCAAATTTGGCTGAAGCGTGATTTCCTCGCACTGAAGGCACGACAAAAGGCGTAAACATACGGACGAAATCACTAGGTTGCTTAGTTCACTGAAAAACGTAGACAATTAGGGGAATTTGTAAACACGTCACGACAACCCGATGACTGCATTAAAACCCACATGAACCGAAAGGTTTTTAGTGGTGCTTCGCTGTTTAGCGGAGTCCAGATTTCTACACCTGGAAGTAAGGTGCTCACTATAGTAGATTATGATGTGTGGGAACTGCTTTTTCCAGTCATTACACAGTGTATGCTAATGGAAATGTAGCGCGTCACGATCTTACTCAATTCTTGTCGAAAAACAGATGAAGGTTAGTCGCTACTGATTATTTATTTTGATCATTCGACCTAGGGGCGTATTTGAAATACCGCTTTTGTGACTACTTACATATTCAGCCGATACTATCAAGCAACTGGGCTCTTGTCGTCTGCTAGGGCAAGTTTGGCAATCCCGAACCAGACCATCAGATAAGACAAATAAAGCCGGTACAATTTTATTATTGAGATATTAGTCTCAGTATTGCTGTGGCATAGGCAAATAGATAGTTTTATATGTTGCATTCATATAGAATTAAACACACACACAGTTGCCGTCCGATTCCAAGCAGGCATACATTGATCAAGTTGTCTTCAACTGGAATCTTTAACTAAGTATCGTGCATTCAGCTCACCCACTCGGAGATTTCGTGCTATGTGCAAGGCAACACAGACACGCATACGACTGGTCGGTCACGGTCGTTCATTCCCTTAGGTGTCGGCGTTAGGTAGAAATTTGGTTAAAATGCATTGTGTTCTCCAGTTGAGTAGACAACAGTGGGTACTAGAAACCATGAGGCTGTAAGTATTAAATTAAGTCAACCATACTACCTGTCATAGAAATGTAATGAAATTAACCGTAGAATCTTCAAAACTCACACCTGGCTCGCGCTACTTTAAACTCACAGCTAAATTGATCACAGGCACTCGAATAAGCCTCCAGGGGAGAATCTGTTCAATTGGCAAATTCCGATCGGATAAAAACGTTCTGAAACCTGGAACCCCCAGGCGTCTTTCGGCAGTCTCTCGACACAGGGTATCTGCCCCGTACCAGCCAAGAAATTCTGCCCCGTTTACTGGATACGGGTAGAATGCTAGAACCAACTGTATAGAAACGGAAAAATTTGCATGTCACACTGTTCTCTGATCAACATCGAACCTATATGTGTTTTCAGAAAAGCTGTTCATTGTCATATAGCAATAAGCTGTTCAAAAATTCTGGATGTAGGTAAGAATCTTGGTGGAGTCAGCCACGAAACCCCAAAAATTATACATAAACCATATGACGATTGAGAGAACCAAATGAAATACCCAGTGTTGCCTAGTCAAATATGCGACATTCTATAGTAAAACATAAATTGACTCTGATTTTATGCCCCCTCTTACTTAACCGACACCATTTAAAGTTCCTATGAGACAAATGTCGATATATCCAAGCGTGGGGGATTTTTGATGTGACTACTTGAAAACCTTATCGCAATAGCTTACAAATCAGATAGTCCCCACATACCAGGATAAGCAATGGACGGACGTTTCGACCTATTGGGTCTCATTAGTGGTGCGCATCCATCGGCCTCATCGCGACCCGAACCCATGACAACCAACAGATTGAACCGTCAGTTAACAGCTTATGCCCATGAGCCATGGGGACAGTGGGGAACCATCAAGATTTACAACCTGACTGCGGTGTGGCGCATCTTATCCTTCACTGCGTTGCAAGTTACCTATGTGGCAGCGACATGGTTGGTCCAAAGGGAAAACACTTGTGCCGACAGTACTTAGGCACGACAGTATTTGTTAACTGTTTTGGAAGCTGCTGCGATGAACTCAAGTAAATTTATCTTGACACACCAACGGTCAAGCATGTGACGTTTGCAAGCTGTACGTGCGTGCTTACCATTGGGTCGGTTCGTCTCCCAAGGTCATTGATTACTTAACTTGCAGGTCATGTGATCCCGCTGGACAGCTCAGTGCATATTGCACTTTGCTGTATTTTGTCCCCTGATAGTTTTCAGTCGCATAGTAGCTCATTTGATCTAACATCCATATCTTCTGATTTGGGTTGAGTGGAAACTTTTAGCACACAAAATGATTCGAGTTGTTTCTCTCCTCCACAAGGACAAGCATCCGCAAGACCGCCTAGGCAGCACGAGTGAATCTAGTGCTTTTTCGTCAGTGTGAGTACCATAACAAGAAAATATGTATGAATACAGAGAGGATGCGAACAAAACAAAGTAGGGAATGAAGTGGAGATCAGATGTGAAGCACTTTGGTTCAGCGCAGTCTAACGCGTGTGAACACTTGCACACAGAATGAGACTGTGATCCGGTCACACGCGATATCCTCGCAAGTCACATGCGGCAGGTGATAGCACGTCACAGCATGATTGCAAACATTGCGTTGATTCACCAACACCCATTCCCAGTTCTTTGCCAAAGAAGTCGCGGTCAGCCAGATCAGGATCGCATTTTTTATGTAGTTAGTTGGCGGCATACGGTTCCGGATGTGCTTGTCACTGAGACCTTCACGAGGACAGGCACAGGACACATGTGCCTACAGAGAGACCATGGGTGGTTTGCTCTGCACCACCCACACTTCCAACCACACACCCCATATCCAGTGTAAACCCGAAGGAATAAGACCAGGAGGCATGTGGATGGGAGCCACGTTTCATCAACGGAGCCGGCCCACACTCCTCACAGGCAAACACAAGCACTCTGTATATGGGGAATCAAGCGCAAACGAGGCGCGGACTGGACCGTAGTCCCCTCCGCACTGAGTGTATAGAACTACTGTTCGAGTCCAGCACGGTCAAGAGGACTGTGCAACCCGTCCCACAGCACCATGCGCTCGATATCGACAGAGTACAACCCATCGGCACCTGCCGCTACCCCACTTGCCGCTACTACGCAGCATGCTCGAGGGCTTTTTGCACTTCGGCAACTGCCTTCATGAGCAGATCTCGCCATGCATGCCGATCGACCACTTTTGATTTCAAACATTCGCAATCAACATGTCCTGGTAACGAAGCTGCAGTTTCCCAACGTGCCGCTCCCCAATACTCAGCTGATCTAGTGACAGCTGGTTCGGTATCCACGCCGAATCCATACGTCACACATGACCGAACAACCTCAGCTATCTCAGCAAAACTATGCAGTCCACTACATACATTCCACTTCGGCGCAACACTTCCGTGTCTGCAAATCTGGCGCCCCAACCGATGCGCAGAATCCGTCGCAAACAATCTTGATAGAACCGCTGGAGATATCGCACAGTCTACCGTTTTGTCGTCCAGGTTTCGCTGCCGTATAGAAAAACCGACAGTAACATGGATTTGCACACCATTAGCTTCGTGCCAACGGTAAGCTGATGGTTGTTCCACACTCAGTACTCAAGCTTCCCGAATGCTGCCGCTGCCTTAGCCACGCAGATACACAGCTCACTGTGTATCTGCGGGTCATTCAACACCGCACACCCAAGGTAGCAGAAGCGGGAGGTGGATTCCAACACTTCGTCACTAGTGCTGATTTTCGACACCATTGTAGATTGCACCTCCAATGAAGGCTGAAAGAGACTTTTTGAATGTGTTGATGGTGAGCCCGAATTTGGCCGTTGTCGAAGCCAGAGCACTAGTCATGTGCTGCAACTCCTCCGCGCTGTGCACAACCAATGCACGGTCATCAGCCAATAACAACATACGGATAGTTGTCTCACAGACGAGGGTACTCGCACCGAAACGACGGATATTCAGCACCCCGCCATCAATCCAGCGATTCACACCAACCCCGTAAGCATAAGCCGCATCAAATGCACACGACATCATGGCATGAAGGTAAAAATTAAACAGGGCAGGAGTAAAGACACAGCCTTGCTTCACACCAGAGGCAAGTGTAAAGTCATCCAAGGTTTCCACTCAGCTGCACCCCAGCCCGCATACCACTGGGCAGAAATTCAAGCAAACTTATAAACTTAACCGGACAAGCAAGCTTACCCAACACAAGCGATAATGTCCCGCAGTCCACCGTATCAAATGCCTTGGTGAAACCAACAAAAAGCGAGTACAAAGGCTGGTGTCGTTCTCTACACTTCTCTTGCAACTGACGAGCCGCAAACACCAAATCGCTGGTGCTGCGACCCGAACGGAATCCACATTGCTCTTCCGCCGCGTTTGGTGCCATAACCAGACTGACGAGGCGGTTGAGCAGGATTCGGGCAATCACCTTGCCTACACAACTCAGCAATTTGATGCTACGGCAATTCATGCAACATTGCTTGCTTCCTTTACCCTTGTACAGTGGTAGCACAAGGACATCCTTCTGTTCTGGAGGTACCTCCTCCTCAATCCACATGCGTTGCACTTAGTGGCACCAATCGTCGCATTGTTCTCATGAAGGCGATCGGGCTGCTTCCATTTTGTGCGCCCGATGGTCTCCATGGCAGCAGCTGGTCGCGAATGTAGTGACAAAATTCCTCCACCGTGGCTATACATGCCACATCACACAGGCTACCTCCATCGCCTTCTCCTGCTCTATACGTTTCTCCACAGTACCGAGGGAGAGGATATTGTAGTTACGCCGGTTCACGGTGTGACAGCATTGCATAAACTTACGAAATTTCTGTATAGTTTGGCCCGCACAAGTTTGTGCTCAGTGCCACATTCAGCTCCACGCAGTACACGTGTCGTACACACTTCACGCATATCACGCTGACGTACGATGACCTAGAGAACATCGTGGTTGCAACATCAACCTCGTATTGATGCGCCCTGTACATCTACCAGAATTCGTATACACTAAGCTGCTCGGATCTATGTCGTGTCACAGATAATCCCCACGCGTATCTATTCTGTGCCGGTTACCAGCCAACGGAAACCATTCGCAGTAAACGTTTCAAGGTGAAAGATAAACTTAGTAAAGAAGAAGAAACTGGTGTGATTTATAAGATCTGCTGTCGGAACTGCGACAAGTACTACGTGGGACAGACTGGGAGAATGCTTGGCACAAGGTTACACGAACACAGCCTAGCCATACGTCGCCGCGATCAGAACTCCCTGATGTCAGTGCACATGGATGCTGAGAACCATAAATTCGACATGGAGCATACCAGTATCCTCCGAAGGGCTAAAAGCCGGCAAGCACGTGAGTTCATTGAAGCCTGGCATTCAAAGCAGAACCCGATCAATAAGCACTTGGACATTGAAGTCGCTTACGAGGCACTGCGAACCAGGCCCCTGAAACCGCACTGATGATGTTGCCTAGTCAGGCAACGAAACGTCTGCACAATTATCACAGCTCGGAGAACCGATCAAAATCCGCATCTCTTTAAATGTACACATTAGCACTGACGAAACATTACGAGAGTAGAGCATCTGCCGGTTTTCATCTACTCAGCTCATTTCTTAAATTGTTTGTAAGGGATGCAACTGTTTCACAGAGTACTGTCGTATTCTTTGGGACAGCTTAACAAGCACAGATTTGATTTGTAACCTATTTCCCCAACTGTTTGCTTTGCGAATGCTCTACCAAGGAATATATCAAAAGAACATCCCCAAAATTTGCTAAATTCGATGTCAGGTATAGCTACCGTCAGTGGATGTCGTGCGTTTGGGAGTCCATTCTGGCATGTGCTACCTTCGTGCCTCGTATGGCACTAGAGGATCAGCGCTAGATCGCAGTTAGCTTGCAAATCATGTCAGTCCGGAGCTGTCGCCCGTGGCCCAAGGCATAGGCTACTAAATGACAGCGTAAGTCGTTGTTGGCCATGGGTTCCAATCCTGATGGATCCGATAGAAGCGCAATCCTGATGATGCCCAACAAGCTGAATGTGCAGTCTAGTGCTTTTCCGATCATGTGGACGACCATGTGATTTGGAACGGGCGTCGAGGAACCCTCAATTAATTATACTGATAGCCCCCTACTCATGAGTATATCCAAACAACCGTCCTAAACGTTGCTAACTGCCGCGTCGTACACATCTATGGATGTAGGGTGTTTACGAGCCAACGCTGCCCTCTACAATGGTCGGAATTTGCACAGCTGTAAATTGTGAGACTCGTTATATTACGTTTAGCCTATAACTCATGGCGGTCAGCCGCTGTTCTCCATGGCTTAGTGGTATAAAGTGCTGGCTGGAGGTGTACGCCCTAAGTGGTCATGGATTCGGATCCTAATGGATCCAAAGGATGGTCACTACTGGCGGGACCTGGCAAGTCGAAAGGAACATCTAGTGCTTTGCTGCGCATGTGGGCGACCTTCTGATTTGAAAACTACTGCGGAAACCGGCAAAGAGAGAAATCTAGTTATGCAGTGGCTTTGTGTGTATAGCTTGGGACAGCTTGGTTTGCGTCTGACATTAGCTATGAGACACATTTCAATATACATAGCAAGACGAGTTTCATTCTAGTAAGGGTTTTATAGTCGGTGTTGCTTAGTGCCTTAACCATGTTTTGAAGCTAACTTTAATAAATCTAGGAAAATTCCTCTCTTGCTAACAGACGACGCTTTAGGTACAAAAAGCGGATTGTATCTTACTTGTAATTGCGAGCTGGGTAAATTTGACTCCACTGCTTCACTCTACAGGGTAGGATAACGACAAGGATGAAAGAGGCAAACGTCACGCAACTGTATAATGTAATACCTAACGGGATGAAACGGCAGCATAGAGATCAATACTACAAGGAAGCTGGTGCAGCGGATCGGTGCATCAGTGAAGGAATACAGATCCCCCATTTTCCTGTTTGTGGACCGTAATTTTGTAGAATTTGCTGCTGACCACACGTCTCAGTCATAGAGTTTTGCTAAGTTTGCATACATTTTCTCTAACGGATGACGCTGTGTTGCTTGATCTCTGTGTGGAAACCTGCATGCTCACAACCGGATAATGTGAGCGGTCAGTCAGTGCCTGGACGTCACCCAGTTTCGATTCCCTGAATGAGAACGCACACGGCACTTAAACAAAGCAGAGGAAATGTGTCATTGTTGTCGTTCTAGACAGGATAGTTTAACTTTACGACAATACCACAAACCTGCAGATACTAGGTGGTGCTGTGGGGCGCTTGAACGGTGACTTAGTAAATCAGTTTTAGTGAAACACCCCTCTACGAAAGAAGATGAACGGATCAATTGCTGGAAATATGTTGACCCAAGAACTATGGGAAGTTTTTGTTGAGAAAACAAACTTTACGTGACCGTCGCTAACACTAAGGTAACCAAAAGTTTCCTAATTGCTCTCCTCTACTAACATTCAAGCTAACTCTCCAGGTATCCGACGTATAAATGTATTTTCTATAAACTTGTCCTCGCCCATTCGAACGTCAAGCGGCGGGAATATGTTCCACCCGAAAGCAGTGTGCATTCGAGACTGCCATATCGTGTGATGAAAGGATACAACGAAGTATGCACGCTATAGTCCCCTAAGACTTCGTATATGCTAAGCACGGGGATGTCACTGTAACGGCTGCATTACTTCGTAGGACTCTACCTATCCCACTAGTTTACAAGCAAGTCATCTAGGGGATCTTGTGAGCACCGAGTTGTGCTTCAACTTCGGACAACTGGGGTTCATAAGCTACAAATCTGCGGAAAAATTATGGTTCTTATACTATCGTGCTTGATCCCCATGGGTTGTTAACCCTAGGGCCTGCCACTAGATGGTCCGAATCAAATGTTTGGTGCCAATGGCTGAACTACCTAGACAAAACTATCCTGCTTACCGTTTACATGAACTGAAGTCACAATATCGTTATCAAGTTACAAACTCATTCAGATAATGGGTTGGTGGTAATGTGTCTTTCATGTCCAGCCTTTAAATTAATCTTAGACCTTGTACGCGCAGTTGAATGTTTCAGCTCAATGGGTTTAAATTAACACGGTATGGCTAAGAGCTGGTCAGAAGCATCGGAGCTCTAGCCTCATAAAATATGAAGAATTCCACGTAAACACACCGAAAAATGCAACGGCGTCTAAAATGAACCAAAACAAGCGGCAGGAGAATCACACTTCAAGTTTTTTGAAGCAAACCAGTATGCAGTCCACAATCAGTTAAACAACAGAGTCTTTCCGTCTCTTGATGAGTGATCAGCTGAATGGACCCAATCAGCGTTTTTCCTATAGACAGGACTCACCTAAATCAGAACCATGGATATTCATCTGCCTAACTCATCAAAACACCTTTCAGTCAATGCCTTCTCGGATTATGCCGTCGCGAAATGACATTTTGTCTAAAACTGATCCCTCCGAGTTGTTACAGAATGACTGGGAAAAACACCAGGGCTCACCTCAGCGAACCAACATGGAGGAATACGGAACAGATCAGAAGATTAGAAGGGAATTGGTTGCTCGAGAGTTAATTTGCTGCATTTAAATGGCTTCTAGTTGGCACAAGTTATCGCTTATTGCACTGCATTTGTCCTGCTACATCAAACATGTCTGAATCCTTACGGGAAGTGATGGATGTATTCTTTGGTCTGTTAAAAGCTCAGCTCAAGTGGCAAAACAGTAAGGTGAACGGAATGCAGCCGGAACATACCCGTCCAACCAGTAGAAGTTTAAGTTTTACAGTCAAAAACTTACTGGCATAGCCTCGTATCAGTGTTTATCCCAAATGGGCATTCACTCATTTCCCGCCCCGGTTGGTGTGTGGGGTTGCTTACTTAGTAACTAAAAGCCATTTTCTAGGCTGCCTTCAAATGCACATGGTTAGCGAGCAGTAACTTGATATTTCAAACATCACCCCAAACAAATAAGCCAAGAATCCTGGGAATCAAAAGTCACATGGTTGTTAACCTGCTTGAACTGATAAAGGGCCAAAAGTCTACTTGATTATAGTACACAAATTAATCTTGAAAAATTAATGTGTTTTTGTAAAACGATCATACACAGCAATGGAGTTAGTCTATCGGAAGTATGGGCCCCTGAATTAGATTGTCAGAGTGACAGATTGAGTAAGTTAAACGTCATTAAAGGGCCAACTAACTACTGTATTCTTGAGTGTTTGGAAATGCGCTTCATTTCATTTCAAAGTAAAGCTGGGGTGGGTTGCACATGATTGGTCACAGAGTTTCTAATACGAACCGCTTTCGTGTTATCTATCACGTTAATACGTGGAGATATGAGAACGCAGCGTCTCATTCACGCATCTAACTTGAGTGGTTGGTTATGGTGCAATACTATCCAATTACTCTACGAACCGGATTCCTCTAGGCGAATTCATTGCAAACGGTTTTCAGTCAATGCTCCTTTCTGCATTGGACACAAAATGTAGTTACGTATGAAGCTGAAGTCACCGCTCCAAAGTGGCCTATTCACAATAAGATTCGCATCAAATTGGATAGAAGAATCAAACTGCTGCCAGAAAGGCTGATGTTTACCGTAGCTAACAAGTAATCATTTGCAGTTGGAATCCGTTTGTATGCTATACTTAAGAAGTAACCAGCATAGCCTGAATAAATCCAGGAGGGCGAGCGGCAAACCAGGATTGGCTATGGACATTTCCCACACATTTCTTGTTTGAGTATGTTGTTCATAGAACCAGCCAAACCATAACACGAAAACCTTCATGATAGTAATCATAACTAAACGGATGATCTGTTGCGGGATGGGATTTAGTGTTTCACAACAGTAAACCCGGATGCAGGTAGGTGCGCAAAATGTGGCAACTGGAAACGTGCGGAACTCCAATAGTCAAGTGAAAATAGGCTTTATGAACTCTGTTGGCTTTATTTGCAACAATAGATGAAGTGCGGAAGAACACACTTTTGAATTTCCAATGGGTAGAAGAGAACACGAGGGTTTTTGAAAACTCAGTGTGCATTGAAAGAAAGCGGTCATTGTTGTAGTTGGAGTGATAGTTATCCAAACCTTCCCATGAAATCTCCAAGCGTCGATTACAACGACGTACACCATGGTAATGTGTGACTCGGTTTAAATCCACACCAAATCTCATGCAAGAGCTCAACAAGTCTGCAGCGACATGCCATAACTACGTCATCTTCTTCTACAAATCAGGAATTAGAAAAACCAGGCAGCTAGATCCTCTAAGTGGCTGCCTCTCATGGTTAGCCACGTTTAGTTCCCTGGAACCCGCTAGAAAGTAAATACACACAGTGTGGTACTCCCTATGTTGTTATATCATGAACACAAATATTCCGTTGCAAGTAAGGAGAAAACTTATGCGATGCTCAAAGTGTCTCGACAAATGATGGATGTGATTGGTGGTGGCCATTCATGAATATTATTGCATGGCTTAATAACCTAAACAGTGGTAATGAAGATCACGTAATTCAGCTCCGTATACTGTGCGCAGCTCAACAGTTCGATAGACAACGCTGGATCTAGTTGTCAGTATGTGGCGATTTTTGTAACAACTTATTTATAGCTAATGCATAATAACCTTATTCGGATCATATTTCACTGGCTGTGGAATATTTATTTTTTAGGCGATCAGCCACTGCGCACCTTTGTAATAGTTTATTTTTGATGGCGGTTGAACTGTTCGCTGAGCTTGGCAATTTGGTTGCAAACGTTTCCTCACCAATCGAGGTGACATCATCAGGGCGTAGTTGAGTGGCGTGCGATAGCATAGAGGAGCGTAGAGGAGCCAAGCTGAACGCGGATCGAAGTCCCAACCAATAGGATTGCTCGGCTTCAAGGCCAACCACGTCGGTATACAAACGCACGCACCCCCTGGTCAGCGCACTCTCACCGAGGCTTCTCTACGCTACTCTACGCTACTGCACGCCACTCAACTACGCACTGATGATGTCACCTCGATTGATGACGAAACTTTGCAACAAAACTGTCAAGCTCAGCGGACAGTTCAGCCGCCATCTGAACAACCTGAGCTAACAGTCTTCCATTCTATAGTTTATTTTTGCGCTTTTGAATCCAAAGTGTAAGCGTATTCTCAATGTTCGTAGGACTATACATCAAGGAGGCTTCGGAGTACAGTGGGTCTGATAGGAAGATTGAATTTACCGACTTTGTTTATTTGAACCATGCTTACATTCGCAACACACCACTTTTCTATGAGAGATTACACTCTATGTGACACCAACATCGTGGTTCGCTAACAATATTGAAACGTCACTTCGTCGTAACAACTCCCATTCAAGGAGATACAATTAGCGCCACCTTCACTTAATGCTTGCAGCCAAGTTATGTGCGACTGAAGTAATAAAAACGTTTGAATGCAGAACTGCTCATAATAAGCACTGGACTGTTGCAACTGGATTAATTCTTGCTAGGTTGTCACATTACATTTAGACTAGTGTAGCAGCTTCTATAGCGAGAAGCATGTCGATTCCACTGCCTCCAAACATGGTGCCAACAACCGTAACTCCTATTCAGTGAAATGGCTTCATAATGTGTATGAGGGAAGACTGATTGTCACCAAGTACCACCGTGTAAGTGACTCAGTCAGAGATACCACTTGTGATTAAAAACAACAGAAAATATACATAAAGAGTCACGTCAAAAATATGCATCGACATGGTTGCAAACAAAGATGCTGACTGATGGTCGGAGGTAATGGACAGTCTGGGTCATGCTGGTTTGGATTCCAATCATCGGGAGGGCACACCCCGAAGGCCAATTCATACGGATGTTGCCAGCATGTATCAGCGCAAACTAGTCACTCTACCAGTCCTCTTATACCGCTTGGCACGCCATCGATTGGCTACTGTGGGAGTAAACTTGACAAGCTGCAGCAACCGTAACAATACTGACGGATATGATCAACGGCAGATGAAATATCTGGTTCGTTTGGTGTGGTCTTGTTAAGTACGGGGGTGTGTGAGGGACTAGTAACCATTCCCAATGTGTGAATATCAACAACGGATCTCAGTTCAGAGATCTAAGTTCATCAGTCCGAAAGTATATGCAGGAGTTTCTTATAGGGACATATAGCACAAACAGTAACCTCTATCACTCAGCACATCATGGAATGTTGGGAACACTTTGGTTTATTCTGTTAACTAAACTTGCAAAAGACCTACTCCGTGTCTTAGTCAAAATACGGGTTGTTCAATATACCGAAAATTCCTGGTGATAACAAAAACCGGGGCTAGCGACACGAAACCAGCAACACTTATGGGCATTCTATTGACACTGAAGCAGCTCGAAGGTATCGAACTTACCGGTGGAGTTGCATAGGTAACTTCTTTTTCAAAAGTCTGATGACAGCAAAGTGAACACGATGAAGGCAGTAGAAAGACAATGTAGTATATGTTTATTTGTGCAGGCACGCAAGCAGACTGTATGGATCTAAACAGACCGAGTACAAGAAAAATGTGTGATAAAATAATGGTGAGGGGAAAGAGTCTACCTTCTGGCAACTTGTGTTCACTGAGCGAAATGAGCATCATATAATCGGTAAAAATGGGCTTCTCTCGATGTTTCCGCCCTTCACTACAGCTGACAAGACGAAATCAATTAATCGCCGGGGTTGTAGAGTTCACGGTACATGCTTGCGTGTAAATAAGGTAGATATAGCTTGCAAATGGTTTGTGTCCTCAGCTTTAAGTTAAACAGGCCAAACATTGGTAAGGTCGATCAGCACCTAACGATTGGCATTGGACGAAAGAAGGTGGAGTCATTTTAAACGAACTAGAAATAAAGGCACACTCCTCTTTGTCACCACCTTGCAGTCACGTGATGTGCATTGCAACGTTTTTCTGCATATCCTGATTGTGATACAGCGAATAACGATAGCATTACCGATTGCAGCAATAACGATTTGAATGTCAACATGCCCACGTGTGGCTGTTCATAGGAAGGCAACCTGGCTTTACCGCTATGGTTGTTGATTGCTGTTCTGTAGGTGTGTAGATTTCAGACCATAAAGTTGGAAATTATTGGCTGCCATAAATAATATATCTTCTGACAGAATAGTTTGAGCCCGTCTCAGCATGTTTTCACCGCCTCATATCCAAGTGATACAAACTTAACTACCTGAGGTAGATAAGTCGGTCATGCGGTTAGTCAGGCCATGTTGTTTTGGTAAATGTTCTTTCCTACGTGAGAGCAAAGCCTGGTAAATTGCGTGGTGTGATTGGGCTTCTAATAACCGGAGAGTTGGTCGCAGATTTCAGGCGTACTGCAGGGTTTCACTTCCTTCGAGTAATGTCTCCACAGGTAGTAATCAAGTGTGCACACGGTTGTATGGGGTTACAAAGCCACTATCAATGCGTTGAGCCACAGAGAAGTGATCGGAAGTTAATGTGAGACGACAGCCAGTGAGTGACGCATGCTGTGGACCAATCAAACTTCCCTTTATGAAACCAGCAACAGGCCCATCGGCTGGTATAATGGATGATTATATACTGTTGAACTTTCAAACCCTACCACCCATATTTCAATTAACAGTCGAATGAGGTGATGCGCTAAACGAGTTAGTCCAACGTTTGATGCCTATTCCGATCTTTCGATCAACACACTTCGCCGTCTAGTGGCTTCACGAACGGATGTGTTAGCAATTCGAATCCACTAGTGGAAAACAATCACCGCTTCACGTAACACTGATTTGCAGCACAATCTTTTGAAAAATTATTCCATACCCCATCTTTCACTACTCCAAAAATAACTGTTTGGTAGTGTGAGATTAGCGAAGCATGGGGGTGGGTGGAGTTCGTGTATATGCTTTTAATAACAGAGACCTCAATGACTGATTGAGTGAGAACCGTGTGTATACCATTTGACAACAAGACTATAGATGTAATCCCTTCCATTTCAAGAGTTTGCCTCACTCTCCGTCCATGATCACCATCGACGGGGAAATGCAATCCCGGATGCGTCAGAATCGAGACCGCTTCTACAGGATCATGGTATCGTCATTTTATGTGTAGGCGTATTGCGGCACATTAAGTGCAAGCGTATAATTGGTGTCACTGTGAATATGCTCTTAGAACACAACAAATTATCTTGTGTGTTGGTCTTTAATGAGCAATTGACTAGATCGCTCAAAATCACGATGGATAAAACACCAGTGCGGTTGACTGCGATTGTGTTGGAGCATTGAACTCACCACAGGTACGCGGTTCCATCGGTTCGTCGTAGTGTCTGTCTTGACAAACATACCCATTGGTGGAGGGTTTCCGGTGTGCCGAAAACTTTCATACAGATAAGTGGCAACAATGGCGCCGAGTGGTAAATTGTCCCCTCTAGTTTTCAGTTCATTCACATCGTTCAGAATGAGAAGCTAAAATGCAGATGGGAAAATGGTCGGTCCGCTACACTAAAATGCATGAAGTCAATGTGTTCTTTTAAAAACTAGATCAACCTGTGCCCTCAGTGCTTTGGTAGTCGCAGCTCATAATTGGCTCAGAACTGGGCAACGTTCGGTTGGATGAAATTTGTGATTAAGCTAGCTGTATCCAAAGTTACAGTGGGGTTTAACTATCGGAAAGCCACATAATCGGTATATGCTTTGTTTAACCAGCATGCAGCTTTCACAGATCAAGTGCAAAAGCTACGGTGGGTCTCCCATACGACAGGTAAACGCAGTTGCATCCTACACTGGTTTGGCCCCCCACTAAGGGGGCTAACTCCATGATATTGTACTACGCGAACCTCGATGTCAGTGAGTAAACAGCATAAAGGACACAGGTTAAAGTCTAAAGAGAGAATATCTTTCGTTCGGCCTGACGGAGACCTACGTGAATAACAACATGCGAATTCAAAACAATATACAAATAAGGTATAAATACCGACTACAGCAGATAACCTTTATTGTCATTCTGTATGTCTTCACGCGCCGGGTACAATGCAATTTCTATACATTAGTAAATCACTACCGGCAGTGGCGATCTGCAGAACATTTGATATCTTAAGAGAAATCCTTTTTCAAGTTGAGTTCATGAGATTAGGTGTAGATCGAACAGAAACCGCAAGTGGTGAGCATTCTTTCGATCTCCTGCTGCAGATGGAACACATGACCGCTAGTGGCTTGCACCACTGGTCAGCAGCTTATGCCACTGATCCATGGGGAAAAGGGTCAACTATCGAGGATTGAAATCTAACTGCGATATTCAGCTTGTAATCTAATTGCGATGAAGCAAATGGAATCATTCCCAAGTCTGTCCACTCATTAGTAACAAAAACTAATCCCTAACAGCCTTCAGAAGGTGTGTGGACACACGGTACTGGCAAAGGAAGTATTGAACTGAACGGCCAAATACTGTCCTCTGCACGGACAGTGCCCTACATAGCAGTGGAGCATGGGCCGGTCTATATCGCAGTTAGGTTTCAATCTGTGATTGTCGGAAATCCTTCCCCATGGCTCAGTAGCTGGCTAGTGATGCACGATACTAGCAGTCATGGGTTCGGTCCCCAGCAGGGGATCAAGGGAGTGTGCACCACTGACGAGTACCAATACGACGAAACGATCGTCTGGCTCTTCTCCGGACTGGTAGCTCATCTTACGCCTCATGTGGACAATTTAGGGCATTTTGCAATTGTGTATGGAGAGAACATCGCCGCCCTGAGACAGGTAGCCCACGATTAGGCGGGCTCGTGTCTCAACACTCAGTATTAACGGCCACTGGGCATGAAGTCCCATACTGGGTGATTCACACAGTCCCTTTGTCTGGGTGACTTGTTTGTCTTAGCATCCTTCAGAAATGACAACAGAAACTGAGCAGCAGCCAAAAACGCTTTAATATTGCACAACGCATCATTCTACATTGTATGAATCACTATGTTAGTGCAGGTCACTGCATATCCCTTGTTAGCCAACAACTTAAGCTCATGGCACACAAATTACTCAATGTCACTCGTACCATCATTAGCTTGGTAGTAACAGAGCTGTGTTTCAAATTAACATTTAAAGAACACGCTGTGTGGATGGGTTGTGACAAGCAACTTCTATTGAGACCTCGGTTCAGTTTGAGGTAAAATTCGGTCATTCCGAAGGCTAGGACCGTATCCGGAATTGAAATATTTGGCTGTTGGTGCTCCCAACACTACCACACCACGACCGCGGTTGCGTCCTGGTTTAGACGCATCTTGTGGCGATTTCATGAGATGGATAAGGTCCTTGCTATCGGAATGACCGAGGTTTACTTCAAAGTGGACCGCGGTCTCAATAGATCTTGCGCGTCGCAACGCAACCACACAGCGGGTTCCCCAAATGTGACTTCGTATTTCTTTCCGCTGTGCCAAGGGTTGTTTGTGGACCTCAGTAGCGTAGTGTTCAGTACGTCAGCCGTGAATTACTAGGCTCTGAATTCCAACGCAGCTCATGCTATCGTCACCTGATTAGCTCAAATCAGGACGAAACCGCGGTCGTAGTGTGCCAGTGTTTGGAAGAGCAACAGTCAACTATTTCGAAAGCTGTACCTTATTCACCACACTCCCTAGTAATTCAGGCCTGTTCATCAGACACGTCCAATCGATGGTCTGCCTGTGCAGGAGGGTGAGTACCTGATTTTCCGCCTATTGGTTTCATGCCATCTCCATTCGCCAGGTGGACCAACCATCATTGTGCTTTGCGCCGTTACCTTAGAGTCATTAACGCACGTTTGCAGCTCGCTTGTCTTTGTCCTGAAACCAACTCGTACGTTGTTCCCAGTATTCCAACCTAATTCCGAACTGTACACCCTGGCCTTGTAGTCATCGTCAGTGCGTATGTCGGCGCTGAGTAGCCTTTCACTCCATCTGATCTACTAGCTACTGTTATCTCCACTTGTTTTTTTTTTTATACAGCGCTGTATGTTCTACATCCTTTTCCAGTATTGTTGACTTTGTTGAGGTGGAAGTCGGTTCGCTCTGACGATGCCGCTACTGCTCAAAGTGTAGAGTCCATTCACGACGATGCCTTCTTAGCTGCACTACAATCAGCGGAATGACAATCTCTCCGTTCCTTACTCCACAGCTTCTCTTTCCCTTATGACGTTCGGTTAACCCTCCCTTCGTCAAGGCCATCGGTTCCAGGTGTTTGTTCAACCCATATTTCGTCTCCACATGCTAGAGATGGAAGTTATGTTGTTCTCTCTCAACCTGTTCTGCCTTATCAGTCACTTTCGTAGACAGTCTCACAGAAGAATAGCCGAAGCTAGTATCTAGTTACAAAGGGGTCTTAGCTACTGGTGGCAGCTTTCTTGTTAGACGACTGAGCTTTACTGGCAGACTTTTACGCACGCCGTTGCATGCCATGTTTCCAACAAGGGAAACTAACGAAGGTGACCAGAAAAAGATAAAGCAGTTCAATCTTAAGCACGGTACGCGCATGCGATGTCTAAACTTCAGCGATCCAGTCGTTGTGTACATCTTCAGAAATGCATGTAAGCCTTTAATTCCCGGGATTGTTAAAGCAAGAAAACTCGATGTTATGTATGGAGTGGAATGTCAAAATCGATTGACTACAATTCATGTGAGTCACAACACGCATCGTTATACACCTAAACAATTTAAACGCAATACACTAGTGAGATTGCTTTGTGAGTTTTTCTGAATGCATTTGCTTTACTGAGGCCAACTGAACCACAACGAAACAACATGCTGATTTGAGCAGAAACGAAAAGTGAGCAGAGTGATTCTACACGAACACATCCCCCAATTCAGTGACTCAGTCGTTCCAAGCAGAGCTTATGCGTAAGTAATTTAGTAGGAGAGGTGTTAATGTGCTCAGGTGAATCAAATTTCGGCCAATCACATGGCGCACGAAAATCGTTTGATATCGAGCGACCGTGTTTGGACGTGTGTGTTGTGTGTTCCATGAGTTAGCTGTAATTTCCGCATGTGCTAATAAAAGTCTGAAACAGTGTCAGTCTTATCTTTTAACTAATATGGATAACACGGGGTTCGCTCCAATTTCAAGGGAAAGGTATATTTCTCCGTTCATGAAACTTGATGCAGAAATTCCTGTGAGATCTTTGACTTCATTAAACATCTCCTTTATTCCATTGCCAGTTGGTTCAACCTTTCCATCCGCCTGGTTAAGATACGGATCGGCGTAAGGAAGAAGAAAATGTAAATTCTTACCGAAGTTGCCAAGTTCCATTCTATTAAATGTGGACCGTCTTTAGAACTAACTTCTTCCGGAATTCCATGTCAAGCCAACTGGTATCGTAGCTTGCTTACGACGGCTTGTATGCAGGCCATTTTGAGACAACCGACCTCGAAGCAATAGCTGAGGTAATAAAGCACAAGTAGGCAGTTTCTCCACTTATAGGTGAAGATGATCAGGGCGGCCTTAGTGAAGTTCTCTCCGGGGCCTCCCGAAGCCACATGAACTCTATCGGAAGGTGCTTCTAGTGTGTTCAATATGCTCGGTAGTTTAGAACATATCCCCGGATTTAGTTGGTCATCTCTGGCCAAAACATTATTATTGATTTCCCGCCCCACGGCTGTCGACGATCAGGTGTGCACGGTATTGACAACAACTCAAGAGAAGTTGCATTATTTCAGAACGAACATATAGTTGTCATCATGGGTGCTGGGATGGTGAGGAGAATGAAAGCACGAAATATAGTCTCTGGGTAGCTTCTTGTTAAATTTGGCTTAAACATTCCATATGGTCTGTTTGAGTGCAACCCAGCTGTTTCTGGAATCCTTTTCTGCGGTTATAATCAGCTGTGTGTCATGAAGACTGAGTCTGTCTGGGATGCTATATGGTATAGTAAACACGAAAAATTTACGCTTTCAGTATTCGGAGACGTTGGATTTTATTCTTGTTAGTATCTCCTATTGTCCTCTTGTTTTAATGTGGGTGTGTCACGTTTACTGTCTCTCTCTCGTGAGCCCCTCAATTAAGCCGCTGTTTGCTCTTGCATACCTGTTCTCTATTCGGTGTAGATCTTAGCAATACACATTGGGTCCAGCAAATCTTACTGTTCGCCCTATGCTCGTATTCGGTACGCCTGTTATGCGCAACCGCCTGCGACTAGTATCTGGGTAGTACCCCACACCGGTCTTTCCATGAAGCGCTCTCAGAAGCGAATGATTCAAGTATGAACTGGGGCTATTAGGAGCGCCGTTTTGGCCCATATTGTCGACTAGGGGCACCAAGTTGATCTAAAGCGTGCCAACAAGATAATTTACAGGGTACCCCAGCATCAACCAAGAGGTTTGCGCCTCCATGCGCTCGCGACAGCTTAATCGATTTGCATCTGGTTGTTTCAATCTTCTTTATGCTCGCAAAAGAAGTTGAGCCATGACTTACAACTTTCCTGGCTAGCTAGAACGAACGACGATGAGGTCGACTGCCACAGATCAAGCTCGGTACCATGCAATCGACCTGTCAGTTCAAAGGTCAACTTTTAGCTTCTCTCACTGAACCTTTAATTAACTATGTAATTTGAGCCAATGAGTCGATTTCATTTCCTTAATTTACCCTTACATATGATTGCAATGGTTCGAAGTGAATCACTAAAAACAATTGGTCACCTATGGTCTCGTGTTCTTGTTTAAATGTAAATGGGCATTTTCAAGTTGCAAAAGATTCAGCGACCGCTTATGTGGTATATATGATTCAAGTTGTGCAGCTCGAGGCATAGCCATAATTCCCCGAGTCTGTCCCGCGGTCTGAGGATTTAAATGCGGATTTATATGTCAGCCCTGCCATGCTACTAGTCTAGATTTCACACTTAGGGAAGCATTCAAGATTCTTGACAAAGTCCAGTGAGAATAATTGACTCACCTGCTTCAATGCTTATGTAAGAGAAACTGCTCCAACCAGTTAAAGTAAGCTGTACATAACGGCTATACATAAGAGAGGCGCAAGCTGTAAAAAGCTCAGAGGTCTTGCGCAACACATTTTAACGAGAATCAAAACAACAAGACAGGAACTGGATAACGGTACCATTGACAAATAATTAACAGCTCCAAAAGTACACACCTCAACAACTTACGTTTCCAATACATATGTGTTTCAAATTTCACTTTATTCTAATCTAAAGGCGTAATAATGCGCAGAGCAGAGATGCGTTGTGTCTGTGTATAACGCACACAGTGATTATCCGGCATTGTAGCGATTCAGGGGTATGTACAGAAGGTAGTAGCGGTAAAACAATAAGGTACCGGAACGAAATGGTTCTCAAGCATAACGTCTACCCACATCGCTGTCCAAATTGGGGGGTTACAGACTACGAGTCACACTTAGGTATACGAGTGTGAAACACACGAGTCATACCGAACAACTTCCTCGTGGTGCCAGCTGGGTGGTTCGGGATTTTCCCGTTCCAGCAAATGGTTCGGCGGCAGTGTTCCGTGACGTGGTGGGTTTTCGCTTGGCAGGCGTTCGCCCCATAAAAAGCCACATATATCCGTTTAACAACACTGTGACCTGGCGGACGTGACTAGCCACTAAATAAAGTCACTGTCCCTTGCTTCATCCTGGCGAAGCTTTGTATACCAGCCAATTTATGCCGTAATTCTGGGGAGCATTGTGCCCCTGTTTGACAAAGGAACAAACGTAAGCGTATGAAGTGAGCAGTCAGTCACCGTCTCTTAATGGGCAAGATTCCCTTCATTCGCTCCGCTGCCTTGCGGACAGGCTGTTCAGCCAAAGTCTTGGGGTGGTGTCTCCTAAGTCAACACCCTATTTCGGCTTGGACAACCGGGTAGTACCTCGCCCTCTGACGAAACCATGTATGTTTTGTGTCGTGTGTTTTCTTTTATTACTTCTGTACCTTCTTTTGAGTCGCATGGTTTCTGATGGCTCTATGTCTATTCGTAGACTGTTGTAAATATACATACCAATATCCCTAAACAATCAAGAGCACCTCTAACACAATAGATGGTATCAGATGTGGCAAGAGCAAACTTGCTCACAACAAGCTGAACAAGATCAACGTATGGATAATTTGAGTTCAGTGTAGTGAATCAAAATCTGATAGTGCACGTTTGCCGGATAACTATGAACATAGAACAGAGTTGACAGTTCGGTCACAGGATCAGGATTGCGGTTCAGAGAACACAAGGTTCGGGTTGGGACAAAAAGAAGGGTTGGCTCATTCCAAGGTACAGCACAGTCTATGGAAGACAAGCAGCATTTACCCAGCCAATCCCACATTCCCGAATATATTCATTTTTATCGTAAATACTATCGCAGTGTCCCTATGCAAATCTCGAGTTGCTGTCAGAGAGGAATTTACTGAGGTGGAATATGAAGAAGGAGAAGACATTCTGCCGCAGTTCACCAGCTGCAGGATCGCACAATCAGCCCTGGAAAGCTATCCTGAGAGGTTTAGTGCATTGTCCTTTGTTCTGCATCCTTAATTACTGATGTACGATCAACAATTGCTCCATATTTTTGAGTTGGCATTAGTGGACTGGCGATGGTTGACAATATTACTAACTACTGCAAATTCAGTAGCAATGTCTACCGTATAACAGCTAAAATTAGAGTATACAATTGGAGTGCTGAAACAGATTTTCTGTATGGTTTCATCACATGCCACCTGAATTTGTTCCGTTTTTATCCTAATCGTTCCGAATACTGAACCACATTTCTTGTTCCCTCTTTGCTACAGTTAGCAATCTCTTCATTTCTTCTGTGGACTATTGCTTACTGAACCGTACTGGTGTCGCTTGGCATCTGCGAGTTCATAACAATAAGATAAGCTTAGTAGTAGTACCAAGAGGCAATGCTGAAGTCAGTTTACTGAAACAATAAGCATGATTCACCAAATCGGTTTTGAGTTACGTACCTGCTAGACACGCTTTACCGTTGCTTATTGGAGGGAAATTTGGTTATTTGTAGGACCAGAGTTGGTTAAATATTCAAAGAGGATAGTCATGGACTTAGTAGCATGAATTGACTTCTAGTCACTAAACTGCCTCCTACTAACCAGCTTACATTCCGGTTCTGTGTACATGAGATACACATTGTACATGGCACAGGATAGTACGGTAAGTAACTTGCGGTTCGGCACACTGGTCGCTGTGCTTTGTTTTCTAAAAAAACTGCCGCGGTATTAAACACCTCATGAACTGAAGTTGTTTTCAATGCGGTGTAACGATGGGATCAAGGATGTTGTCTGACACACGCCGTCTATTTCTCGCCCGATAATCTGTTATTTGAAACACTGTGATGTTGAATGGATGTACCTCCTTAACATGAATGCTTCCTTAACTACTTTGAGCTTTATCCTAGATCACAGCATGCTCTGCACCCATTGAGCTCATCAATTGTGTAGTCTCGATTGTGTAATCGATGTGTGGCAGTAACGAATAAGTGCAAATTTTCGCCGCGTTACTACCGCCGTCACCGCCATTGCCGCTGCTGCCGCCGTCACTGCTGCGGCTGCTGCTGCTGCTGTTGCTGATGATAATGATGATTGATGATGATGATGATGATGATGATGATGATGAGGTTGATGATGATGGTGATGATGATGATGATGATGACGTTGCTGCTGCTGCTGATGATGATGATGATGCTGATGATGATGATGATGATGATGATGATGCTGATGATGATGATGATGATGACGATGTTGATGATGATGATGATGATGATGATGATGCTGATGCTGATAATGATGATGATGATGATGATGATGCTGATGATGATGATGATGATGATGATGATGATGATGAGGAGGAGATGGAAGTGAATGATGATGATGATGATGATGATGATGATGATGATGATGATGATGCTGGTGGTGATGGTGATGATGATGATGATGAGGAGGAGGAGGATACTGATGATGATTAGGATGATTAGGAGGAGGATGCCCATGATGAGGATGATGAGAATGCTGATGAGAATGCTGATGAGGATGATGCTGAGAATACTGACTGAGTGCCGATGATACTTGCTAGGTCACCCTAATACTAAATTACACAATATAATTGGTGACATTAGATGTTAATACGTTTTGAAGAAGCTGCTGTCCCTCTTGGTGAAAGTACTATTAAAAAGACACATTTCTGTTGACTCAACTCAAACTTACCCCCAGAGCCTTGCGTTGACTATTCACTCCCAACTCCGGTTCTCCGAATTGAGGAACAAGACTACGTCGTCTTCTTATTCGAATCTTCCTATCTTTCAGCTCTTTATGGTTGTTCGTCCAGTTGCGTGCAGACACCTGAACTATCTTTTAAAAAAGAAGCAGATGCAGGAATTGAAAAGCGGACCCAGTAACAAACCCCCAAAAAGCTAGCGAAGCTTGTTGGACTTTTAATGCTTCTGGTCGTGAAAACCTTGTTATTCACTATCTTGCATTTAATAGTGAACTTCTTGTGCCTACTTCCGTCATTGACGGAACTGAGTTTACTTTTGGAAGGCTGTCAAACTCGGTCGAATTCGCTTCAGTTAGTAAGACACTGCTCCCATGGGTGCCATACCAATATGGTGTGCAGTAAGTCTGAATATAATGGTAGTTCTATCGATCTTCAAGCATGACATGATCCACTGGCAATAGCGACCGCGTCTGTTTGCAGCGACAGTGTACAATAGCCACGAGTCACTGCCTCCAGTGGAGAAATCATCCCGTAAACGACAAGTTGGCCAGCGCAAGAATTGGGTCGTAAAGTAGACGCCAGAGGAGCAAAGAGGACCGCAATCCGCAGTTGTGGTGCTGCCCGAATTTCTAACTGTTGTCAGTACGATGCGCACACCTACAAATGCATTCATTTTTACAAACAGTTCACATACACAGTAGACCAACTTGATTGTTGATTTATGAGCGTTTCCGTAAGAAAGGTTGAGCATATATGGGGAGTCAGTGAACAACATGATTTACGAAACGGAGTTCCTGTGTTTCAATAATACGTTTGAGCTGTTTTAATAAAGCTAAAAAGAGCCACCTTTCGCTATTTGATCGAACAATGAGAGACCATTTCTTTGGCAAAATTTTTTGACTGCCAGTTGACTGACCAGGAATCGCTTGTATGGACCTTCAGTCCTAATTTTTACGGTGGAAGGATCATTTACCTAAACACCTGGTAGCGGCCATAAGTCATTTGATTGCGGGTGTACATATTCTAAACTGTAACATCATTTCAAACCCGGTTACCTAGCCTCAGAAGTGGTCTTAACGAGTCTGCGGCCAGAACTACGAGTTAGGTCCCGTAAGTCTCTTTCGTTAAGAAGTGTGTACTCTTTCCGTGGTCTTCTGACGACGTGAGGAAAAGTCTCACAAAACACTTCTTCCCAGATAGATGGAAGCGGCTTAGTCGCTCAAACAAAAGCAGAAAAATTATTGCGATGCACGCGCAGGGAGTAGGACACTTTAGGTACCATATATTTTTGGTGATCGTTTGGCGGTTGTAACGTGCCGTCGATAAATCTCAAATTCTGTTGTAGTGCACATGAATAAATATTCCATTAATAGCCACCGTTCACATACCCGCGGACCAAACTTTGCTCCAGAATATGAGGCATTAATTCTCTTCCACCGACTCAAGTCTAGCGTCATTTGTAAATGGCATCTTTAAGCCTGTTCAGGCCAATCTCTTCGTTCATCCCATCTAGGCCGGACCAACTATAAGCTGCCGGTTTCACACATGGGAATATTGCCACAATCCCTTGGTTTATTAGCAAAAGCATTGGCAGTGTAACTATAAGGGAAAGTTATTTGAGTTCACCTCCATTATCCCGCAGTTTCTTGGCAAATTTCAAAACTTGATCTCTGCAAGCTGGCATAAGTACGAAGCAATTTCAGCTCGTTTTTCATAGCGCACAGTATGTAAAAACCCAATCTCTAACGGCCTCGATATCCGGCGTTATCCGCATTGATATAAATAAGGTAAATTTTTTAATGCTAATGAACCCGTTGCATAGCAACAGTTATGTTTTAATAAATGAATCCCGCACGTCGTTAACAAAGCAATGAAAGCTAACTCAGATCAAATAAAGCTGATTAATGATGGTCCCGGAGAAATACTGTGGAATGAAAAACATCCGATGCCCATTGCAAATGCCTTCCTATTGATCACGCACTATAAGAAAAGAAAGAAAACTTACTGCGGAATCGATTATACGTTCGACCTCTTTTCGCAAATCTTGACTGTTTATTACGTTATCTGATCCCGGATCACCTTTCTCTCCCTAAATAATGGGAAGATTTTCGCCAGTAAGTTGCAGCAATATTACAGCAATCAAGTGTGGCACAGATTTCAATATGGTCGAATAATAAAGTTACATACCGTGGTTGTTTGTGACAAAACCCATTGGCTGTTGATAGCATTAAAGGGGGACGGCAATTCTTCGGAACTTTTCCGGGATAAACAAGCTTTTTGACGTCATATTGTGTGATAACCGGTGACGTGAACAACGCATGGGCTGATGGTCACCATACTTTATGTTTTAGACTGCTTCCTAACCATACTCTTCCTCACGCATGAGTTACTGGGGCTTTAAGTGGTAGTCATATCGTTTCCTTCTTGAAACTGAACTCTGCAGTTAATCACAATAATGAATAGTATATGGTTAGCTAGAGTTAGAGTGCGGTTCATTTCTTATGACTGAAGCCCACGTTAGAAGCCACATAGAAAAGTGATGTGTTAATCTATACAAGTATTTTTGTTCGTCGCAATCAGCCGACAATTCAGATATGTCGACCAGCTATCCGGAAAAGCACCATACGGCCGTTTCGCCCTATTGGGGCTCATCAGTGGTGCGCATCCTTCGGTCCTCTGCGGAGGATCGAACCCATGACTGCTAGTGGCTCTTGCCAACTAGCCCGCAGCTTATGCAACTGCGCCATGGAGGACGGTATCCGACTATCACGAATTGTTAGCTAAATGCGATATAGCCCGACCCATCCTCCACTGCCATGCAGGCACCTGCCATGCAGATGACAGCGGTCGGCCTTCCGGCGTCAGGACTTCCCGGTTACGGCAGCTATGAATCGACATAGCATTTTGTGGAATCCGCATTTAGCTAACAATTCGTGATAGTCGGATACCGTCCTCCATGGCGCAGTTGCATAAGCTGCGGGCTAGTTGGTAAGAGCCACTAGCAGTCATGGGTTCAATCCTCCGCAGAGGGCCGAAGGATGCGCACCACTGATGAGCCCCAATAGGGCGAAACGGCCGTATGGTGCTTTTCCGGATAGCTGGTCGACATATCTGAATTGTCGGCTGATTGCGACGAACAAAAATACTCACCAAAATCCTTCCGCTCATAAGTAATCTATACAATTGTCCAATAGAGACTAAATAAAAGCTCGTCGAACAGGGCACAAGTTTTGCTGAAGCAACAACCGTTCTATGTGAATTTTCGTTGCTGTCGCCATCTCCTAACTGTTTCGACTCCTTGTCGGAACAGATGAAACTATCTTCACCGATAGCACCTCACGAGCAGAGTAGACAGTTGAATTCGGATCAAGACGGTCTAAGAGATCGAGCTAAGACTGGAGATGAAACGCGTAATCTCTTACGAGTGCACGTAGACCCGGAAATGAAAGACTTGCTGATAGCAAGATTCCGTTCACTGACTCAGCTAGACGGACTTGTCTTCCACACCATTGTGGTTGACTGATGTGTCTTCGCAATACATAAAGTCGGTAAGACACATAAGCTGCTACACAATGGAAATGTCCTGGGAAAAGATTAGTTGCTTCAATGCGGCTTGACACGTTAAATACAGTAGGGTCACCGAGATGAACTTAGGTGCCGTCTGCGCAGTTTGTGTCGATGCTTAACTGCGGTGCCCTTGAGAAGAGCACAACTGTGAGCTGCACTACCGTATCTTGGCAGCATACCTGCGGCAAGCTCAGGCGAAATCTGTCCGAGTCTCACGGAGGTCTGCGAGATCCGCAACAGGTGTAGCCACTGAACATAGTTGCCGGAGCAACATTTAATTATTTGTGACATTTCCGTTGCTTTGCACACTTATGTTATTGCCACTATCGCACGTCGAGCAAGCAAGAATGACCAGAAGGTGGGATAAAGATGGAGACGTAAATTGTCTCCAGTGTTTTCCTGCTTAGTAGCCTAAAAAGCCGAAAGCAGTGCTTGACATGTGATCATTAGATTACCATTGGAGTGATTTTACACATACGAACTAGCAACCTTCATTGCCGATTAAATTGCGTGGACCTGCACAGGGAGACTTTTTCTTTCAGAAATCCCGCCGGCGTGGTTCACTTATATGGAAGTATTACGCCAGTTTTTATTAGTACCCGTTTTCTTTCCACTAAGGTGTGCCCTAGAATAGTTCATAACACAGCCGAATAGTTGGCATGTTCAGTTAGATTGAAACGGTGTTCAGTCGGCGAGAATAGTTTGTTCATCCATTGTTTTGTCTTACGATATTCCAGGCTGAAGTCCATAATTGATTTATATTTAGATCATATAAGTCATTACGCAATCATAAGTATAGGTGTAGTTCACAGCCTTATACGCCTACCTGTAATCCCATTGGGCCGGGGTCAGAGGCAGGACACGATGCAACACAGTAACCTTTCAAGCCAACGCGTCCCTGAAAGATGAAATTGATATTGCGTCAACAATGACCTCCTTCATCACGAACGAAAAAATTATTAAATCTACCGAAGTTACTCGGAACATGCACAAGTAAAAAGTTGAATTTTTCGTGAGAGGTAGAAAATGTTCCATGATAACAAACGATGTAGGTACTCAAGCTCCCTCTAAAGTCGCAGTTGTTGCTCCGTGTAATAGTCTGAGTCAAATATAAGATAGCGAAGGCCGCGTAAAGCGTCTCAACAAACCTATACAAATAATGCCAGATGGCCAGGAGCCGCCATTTAAAAACAGTCACCTTCGCAGTGGATTAGTTTATGTCTTAAGCTTTAAATATATATGGTTGGCGGCATCCGGTTTCGGATTTGCCTGCCACTGTAGCCAGTCACAGGACGCCTGCGCCTACAGAGAGACCATGGGTGGCTTGCGCTGCACCACCCACAGCTCCATCCACACACCCCATATCCAGTGTAAACCAGAAGGAATAAGACCAGGAGACATGCGGATGGGAACCACGTTTCATCAACGGAGCCGGCCCACACTCCTTCACAGGCAAACACAAGCACACTGTATTTGGGGAATCAAGTGCACACAAGGCGGTGGCTGGACCTTAGTCCGCTCCACACTGAGTGCATGGAACCACTCTTTGATCCTAACACGGCCACAAGGACCGTGCACCCTGTCCCCTCCAGCAACGACCAACTGTCTCCTGGAGCCAGTGTGGACGAGGTAGTGGGTAATAGACAGGTAGGCACCTTGTCAACATGCACATCAAGCGCATCCACACCGGGGATATCAAACAACAGCCGAACACTTGAGAGAGAGAGAAAGAAAAAGAGAAAAACTCGATTAATGCATAAGGAAACGGTGATATAAACCTTAATTAAATAGCATATGTAATAAGTTGTTTACAAACAAATCCTAGCTAAGTGCACGAGGTCAGGAAATATAGTTCACGGAATGTCACGAACACAAAAATATTATGGAAATCGAATACAATTGGCTTAAGCGAGGTGTGCAAGTTAATGGAATAGAGTACTGGTAGACATTTATATGAGAAAGAAAAGCATTAAGGCACAAACTGTAAACCCACCACCTGAAAGAAAAAGACTTAGCATGCAAGCACGCGGTTAGTAAATCGAATTCAGCTTGCCTACAAACGCTGCGCCGGCTCGCCGTAATTCTCTGCAGGACCCGTCGTCGCTTCTGTAGTGGCCCCAAAGGACCTAGCTCATGGCCCACTAGACATTTATATGAGGAAGAAAGGCATTAGGGGAGAATCGCAAACCCACCACCTGAAATAAAGAAACTTAGCATGCAAGCATGCGGTTAGTAAATCGAATTCAGCGTGCCTACAAACGCTGCGCCGGTGCTGCCTACGTTCACTGCTGGACCCGTCGGCGCTTCGGCAGTGGTCCCGAGTGACCTTTCTCATGGCTCACTAGGCCTGTCTGACTAAGGCACTCGCGACCGCATGTTCTACAGCACAATGCGCTCGATGTCGATGGAGTACAATTCATTGGTGCTTGCCGCTTCCGCAAATGCCGCTTCTTCTCTGCATGCATGAGGTCTTTCTCCCGCACTTCAGCAACTGCCTTCGTGATTAGATCGCGCCATGCACCACGATCAACCGCCTTCGATTCCCATGATCTGCAATCAAGATTAGAACGTGTGAGGCTCACTTTAATCATGTCCTGGTAACGTAACTTTGGTTTACCAGCATGCCGCTTCCCAATACTCAGCTGACCGTATAAAAGTTGTTTCGGTATCCGCGTCGAATCCATACGGCTCACATATATATATATATATATATATATATATATATATATATATAGCCCTGAGGCACGTGGTGGCCAGATCCTCACAGATGGTCTACCACTGCTGCTACTGTTGTGCCGTGGGCTCATATCCTGGACGCCTCCTCGTGGCGACCGCTGGTTGGCAGTTGGGTTACACCCATCTCCTACCTAAGAACCAGGACATGCCAGTCTGCATGCGTCAGGGAACTGGCCATGTGTTAGAACCGCTGCCTTTCGGGTGTAAAATTAGTCGAAGGCTTTGGCTTAGGACCCGAGTCGTTCTGCTGTTAGGTGTTGGCGCACTGCCAGCATCCTAGTCCATCCTCTTCGGAGGTTAGCAAGTGGTCGATGGCCCACTTTCCGTAAAACCTAGCCATAGGAGCCAACAAATCCACGGATTATAAACGCACCTCTCGATTGGCTTGGAGCATAAGCGCCACACATTGTCTCTGACAGTGGGAGTGCAACTCCGGATGCTCAATGGTTTGCTGCTACCCGCTTCAAGCCAGGTAACCCCTGGTAATATTGGTGCAAACCCGCCAAAACCCTCCTGTGTCTGGCCGTGGTCGGAGGTGCGTATCCTACTACGGTCGCAAAACATGTATGTATCGTTCTTGTACATCAAATGCTGCGTGTGATGGATATCAAGCAGATCCCAGTCTGTCTCTGCAATCACATTCCCGAGCTGGACCTGCTCCCCACTGCCTTGTGGGTCAGGCTATTGAACCAAAGATTTCGGGAGGAGTCCCTCAAACAAACTTCTAAACAACCCCTGTCTTGGGGGTAAGGCTATTGAGTCAAAGGCTCCGGGCGGAGTCCCTCAAGCAAACCTCCGAAGCACAACAACCACCTCGCGTGCGGTTGCCCACCAATGCAATCATATGCCTGCGCGCAAAGCGCTCAGCATCAGGTGCTGGAACTTGTACACACTACCAGATCGAAATTTGAGTGAGCACTGCACTTCGACGCGTTACACTGATTGTGATGGAACAGACGCACTACCACATCGATATTGCGGCGCTCAGTGAAACTCGGCTAGCTGAGCAAGGTGAGATGCATTAAGCAGTTGCTGGCTACACATTCTACTGGGTGGGGAACGTTGATTCAGTATTACGTGAACATGGGGTCGGATTTGTACCATCCTGTCGTCTACTTGGCCAGCTGGTGTTTGAGCCGATTGGCATCAGCCTGCAACCGATGACGGCTCGCCTACGACTCGGAAGAGGTAAGTTTGCCACCTTAATAAGCACGTACGGCCCGAGCATGTGTTATCCTGATGACACGCGTGATCAGTTCTACACTCAGCTATCCTCCGTGATACGGTCTGTGCCGAGGAGCGACCGACTATATCTCCTGGGTGACTTCAACGCGCGCGTTGGGCGTGATGCATCGGTGTGGACAGATGTTATCGGTGCGCATGGCATTGGTTCAGCGAATGCGAACGGTGACAGGCTGCTTTCACTATGTGCCACTCACAGCATGACGACCGTGAACACGTCGTTTGCACTGACTGCGAGTGATATAGCAACTTGGACGCACCCAGGGAGTGGTCACGCTCACCTGCTCGACTATGTCATCGTATGTCAGCGTGATATGCGTGAAGGGCGTATGACACGTGTACTGCGTGGAGTTGAGTGTGGCACCGATCACAAAATGGTGCGGACCAAACTGTACATATATTTTCGTAAATCTACGTATTGCGCTCACGCCGTGAACCAGTGTAAATGTAACATTCTTTCCCTTGGTACTGTGGAGAAGCGCGTTGAGCTGGAGAAGGCAATGGACGCAAACTGTATTATGTGGAAAGCATAGCTACATTGGGCAGATTGTAGCACTACATTCGCGACCAGGTCTCAGCTGCTGCCGAGGAGACGATCGGACGTGCAAACTGTAAGCAGCCCGATCGGCTTGTTGAGAGCATTGCGACGATTGGCACATTGGTGTCGAGGAAGAATGCAACATTTGCTGCACATGTGGCAGACCCCAGTGACTTGGGGAAGAATAATCAGTTTCGCAAAATTCGACGGTGACTGACGCGAGAGCTCCCTCGCATAAAAATGGCATGGTGGACGGAGAAGTATAGGCAGATCGAAATCTACGCCGAACACCGGCAATATAAGGAATTCTTTGACTCCTTGAAGACGGCGTATGGAACGAGGTTGGAGCCGCTGACGACGCTGATCGTTGGTAGCTCAGGCGCTACCTGCACACAGACTGCAGACATAATGCAGATCTAACGAACAAACTTTCACTGTCTCTTGAACAACCGTTCAGAGATCGACTGGCCTACATTGAACGGCATGAAGCAGCACGTGAAGGCGAGTCTGGCGGACACGCCGACACTGGATGAGACGCAGAGAGCACTTGCTCAGCTACGAAACGTTAAGTGTGCCGGAGCCGACGGGATCCAGCCTGAAGTATTGAAACACGGCGGACCAGCGTTGGTGACTGCGCTGCACCACTAGGTGCAACGCGTGTGGATTGAGGAGGAGGTACCACCTGAACAGATGTTCTTTTGCTACCACTGTACAAGGGTAATGGAAGCAAGCAAGACTGCACGAATTATCGTGGCATCAACTTGCTGAGTTGTGTGGGCAAGCTGATTACCCGAATTCTGCTCAACCGCCTCGTCAGTCTGGTTATGGCACCAAACGCGGCGGAAGAGCAATGTGGATTCCGTTCGGGTCGCAGCACCAGCGATTTGGTGTTTGCGGCTCGTCAGTTGCAAGAGAAGTGTAGAGAACGACACCAGCCTTTGTACTCGCTTTTCGTTGATTTCACCAAAGCATTTGATACGGTGGGCCGCGAGCATTGTGGCTGGTGTTGGGTAAGTTTGGTTGTCCGGTTAAGTTTGTAAGTTTGGTTGAATATCTGCCCAGTGGTATGCGGGCTGGGGTGCAGCTGAGTAGAGGGACGTCAGATAACTTTGCAGTTGTCTCTGGTATGAAGCAAGGCTGTGTTTTAGCTTCTGCCCTGTTTAATGTTTATCTACTCGAAATTCTATCTCGTGCTTTTGATACCACTTGGGCTTAAGACTGTGAGATATCTGGAGCGATTTCAACAACAAGCTCTGGGACGGATTTTGCGCATCGGTTGTTGCGTCAGAGTTGCAGACACAGAGGTGTTGCGCTGAAGTGGAATATATGCAATGGGTCGCGTACTTTTGCCAAGACACCTGAGGTGCACGGCCATGTGTGTC